TCTTGCTATTTTATTTCTTTCAAAATTTTTGTTTCATTGGAGTATAGCTGATCAACAATGTTGTATTAGTTTCGGGTATTCAACAAAGTGATTCAGTTATACATATGCATATGTCTATTTTTTTTTTTCAAATTCTTTTCCAATTTAGGTTGTTACAGAATTTTGAGCAGAGTTTCTGTGCTATACAGTAGGTTCTTGTTAGTTAACTATTTTAAATACACCAGTATGTACCTGTCAATCCCAAACTTCAAATCTATCCCTCTTCCTGGTAACCATAAATTTGTTCTCTAAGTTTATGAGTCTGTTTCTGTTTTGTAAATAATTTCATTTATATTCCACATATAAGTAAGTAAGTGTTACTTGCTCAGTCGTGCCTGATTCTTTGCGACCCCATGGACTGCAGCCCACCAGGCTCCTCTGTTCAAGAGATTTTCCAGGCAAGGATACTGGAGTGGGTTGCCATTTCCTTTACCAGGGGATCTTCCCAACCCAGGAATCCAACTGGGTGTCCTGCACTTAAGGCAGATTCTTTACTGACTGAGCTACAAGGGAAGCCCATAAGCAATATCATTTGATAGAAGTTTTTATTTGACTTACTCCACTTGGTAATATAATCTCCAGGTCCATCCATATTGTTACAAACAACATTATTTTATTCTTTTAAGTAGTTGAGTAATATTCCATTGTGTTTTATGTACCACATCTTCTTTATCCACCCATGTGTCAATGAACATTTAGGTTGTTTACATGTCTTGGATATTGTGAACATTGCTGCAATGAATATTGAAGTATCCTTTCAAACCATGTTTTTCTCTGGATATGTGCCTAGCAGTGGGACTTAGTTTTTGAAGGAATCTTTAAACTGTTCTCCATAATGGCTGTACCAATTCATTCCCACTAACAGTATGGGAAGTCTGTATACCCTCTCTACCATTTTATTTACAGATTTTTTGATGATGACTGCTCTAACTAGTGTGAAATGATATTTCATTGTAGTTTTACATTTCTCTAATTATTATATTGTAACTGCTTTTGATTTTTTCATAAAAAATCTTTACTTATGACTACTTTATCCCTTTAGGATGAATTGTATGCTCCACATGGATTTGTAATATAGCCAAGAACCAAACTGCCAATATTAATATTGATAGCAGATATGTAGCTTATGATTTTGGAATTGTGTGGAAGCAGTGTGGCTTCCTAATTTACAGAGGAAATAAAATTTAAAGTTACTACATGTTCAGGAATTATTAGATCTAATATTGTTCCTCCTAATTTAGCTATGATTAAGAATCTAGAGTAATCTAAACTCACTCTCTGGAATCTATGGGAAATGTACTTGCTGATATTTCTGCAAGAAATGCAATCTGTAAGGGGCTTGAGATGAAAGCTGCCTCTGTCATGTTCCAGAGGATTTTTTCCTCAGTACCATAATTTTGAGACACTGGTTAAAGAAGCTCAACAGTTGATCTCAGACAAGGAAAAACAAGATTGGAAATTCAGTTATATTGTTCATTTGATAAAAAGAAAACTCTGATTTGAACAAAATAACAACCTGGTCTTATTGGAAATCCAAAATTCCCAGTCCTCACCACTATACAATCATTATGGTATTGGTCTACTGACAAAATGATAACGTTCATAAATCAATATTCTGGGGGCAGGGAGAGCAGACACACTAACAAGGCCTCAAAGTGTCTACTTCACTAGTCCCACTTGTCTGAAATACAAACTAGAGAAACTTGCTTGTAGTGCTCCCAGACATTTAAAACTGCCTAGTGGAACGTTGGAGGCCTGGCAGTTGGATTTCAACAACTTCCTTTATCTCATGGGTATAAATGTTTTATTCATAGTCTATGTGTTTTCACACTGCACTGAAGCCTTCCTTCTCAGACCAATCACTGCCTTTTTTGTGCTTAAAGGCTTTTTTGGAAAAAAGTCATCTCTGCCTGAGGAACTCCTCTCAAACTTCATAGTTTCCAGTATTTTGAAAATTTAAGTGGAAATAATCTTGATGTTTTAAAATAACATGAAACTATTTTTTATATAATAAACAGTATTGAGCCAAAAAACATCTTTTGGGAAAAAAAGCTTGAGCCATTCTTTATCTTTTAATGTTTCTGTGTAAGAAAACAAGCAAAAAAGTATGGCACAAATTAGATTAAGATATGATTTTCCGTTTGTACTTTAAATGTTCCAGGACTTTCCAAGCATGATTCCACATATGAAAACTAAGTATATTTTTTATTGTACCATTTTTTTATAACTTTTATGTATTAAACTAATTTAAAACATACTGTTAAAAAGGGAAAAGAAATGACAGGCATAAAATGGAGTAATTTGCCCCCTCAACAGACAGGAATGTGTATGTGTGTCTTAGTCCCTCAGTTGTGCTCAACTGTGTGCAATCCCATGGACTATGGCCTGCCAGGCTTCTCTGTCCATGGAATTCTCCAGGCAAGAATCATTGGATTGGGATGCCATTCCCTTCTCCAGGGGATCTTCCTGATCCAGGAATCAAACCTGGGTTTTTTGCATTGCAGGCAGATTCCTAACTGGCTGAACCACCAGAAAAGCCAACAGAAAGCCAAGATTTAATTATACTTTCAACTTCTAGGAAACTTCTAGTCACAGCTTTTAGTCTGTGACCTTTAAATAACTATCTGAAATTTCCTCATTAGCACTAGTGAGAGGTAATTTGCATAATGCTACCCCTGCCATTCCCTTCCCTGAAAAGAAAATGACCTGGCCTTTGAAAGATTCTATATTTTTTGTTAATAATTCCTTTGTTCCACAATTCTGTCCATGAAAACCTTCCCATCTTGTACTAATTTTTTGGAGTATCTAGCTGCTTGCTAGGTGAGTTGTTTCCCAATTCATGAATTGCTTAGTAGATTGAATTACATATACAAAATGTACTGTTGAAATTTGTTTTTTTAACATATTGAAAAGTTCAGAAAAAAACTTGTAAAATTCATTTGCATGAAGGTCAGTATGTTTGTATATTTAAACAAAGAATGGACAAGAAACCCTGAAAGCAAAAGAAATGGAGAAAGTGCCTAGCTTTAACATAAATTATGCTCTAAAGTTAAAAAAAATCAGTATTGGCACATACTCAGAACAAACAATGGCAGAGAGTAGAATATCTGGAAAGATATCTAATTATATATACAAATTTACTAAATTATAAAGATGCTACCTCAAATTAGTGATGGAAAGAAACTTCTCACTAAACAGGCATATGATAAAATGATAAAAATTGGATCTGGTCAGTACACACTATATTACTATAAATTTCAAACTGATTAGATATTTAAATATAACTAATAATACCATACAAGTATTTATTATAAGAAACATGGAAGAATTCCTCTATAAACTGAACTAAGGAAATTTCTCCTAACCATTATTCTAAATCCAGGTGGCAAAAAAGTAAAATCATAGATAAATAGACTATAAAAATTAAAAAGAAAGTTTGGCATGTTATTATTATATCTATATAGTTAGAGTTAACTGTAATTTTAGAAATATTATATGTATCATATAATCAGAATAAAAAGTAAAACTACATACTGGTAAAGTTATTTAGATTTGTATTATATTAGAAGTTTTATATTTCTTATGTACAAAAAAGAAAAAAAAAACAAAGAATTTTTAGAAGAGATGTTAGAAATACGGACAGAAAAAAATCACAGAAAATGAAATACAAACAGCTATTAACCACATGATGAAATGAGCACCCTTGCACATAATAAGAGAAATGTAAAGTAAAATTACAGAGGAATAACATTTTTCATCTATTAAATGGGCAAAAATTCAAAAATTTGACAATATACTCTATTGGCAAGGCTACGGGGAAATAGGCACTCTCATAATTGCTGGCAGAGATGCAAACTGGTACAACCTCTAGAAGGGGAATTTGGCAATACTCAGTAAAATTACACAGGCAATTACCCTTTGATTAGTGATTTTACTTCTAAAAGCCCATTCCAATGACACTGGTTAAAAAATGAAATAGTTGCACCATTTTTAAAGTGAAAGACTGGAAGTAACCCAAACATCTATCAAAAAAAGTCAGATTGAATAAGATATAACACAAGAAGTAAATGAATACTACACAATTATCAAAAGAATCACGTACTTAGCCATATATTTTAATGGCATGATCTCTAAGATTTTATGTTAAAAAAAGTAAAGAAAAATCTTGTGATGTGCTATTGTTTTTCTAAGAATAGGGAAATCTTTGTTTGTTTATATACTTCATTGTACTTGTTTAAGTGGAAGTATAACTTATATAATTGTTAAAATGTTTACCTCTGAAGGGAGGGAGAAAAGAGAGAGGAACAGACAGAAAAAGAAGACAGGTAGTTTATGTAATTGTAATTGCAAAACAAAATTATGCTGAGGGAAAAAAAAAAAAAAAAAAAACGCCTAAATGTCAAAAGTCAAAGCAAAAGGAACAAAGTATGTATCTTTTCAGAGAAAGGAACAGAGAGGAACTATTCCAAATCACTTTTAAAATAAGTATTTTGACTAAATGTTATTGCAGGATAATCCAAGGATTAAAAAAATAAAAAAAGAACTGTGAAAAGAAAACAAAACTATATCCTGTTTTATTGCTTTTGCTATTTTGATGAGCTTGTTACTCAAATGTAATGTGGGATATATTTGAATTTAAAATATCAGTATGAGCTCAAGATGTATTTTATCTGTAAACAAAATTATTCACCAAAGTTGTCCACTGAAAATGTCTAGAATCAATGGTACCTCTAAGGCCAAATACCTTTTCCAACTAAAAGGTGAAACTATGGCCACTTGGAGAAACTGTGGACTCCAAGTCTAGGGCAATAAATGTACAAGATAAAACTGGAAAGTGTATCACTTTTTTCACTTGTAAATTTGGAATGATAAAAATGCCTTTTTCGGGAGCGAGAGGCTGAGAGTCGGAGACGCTATCCGCTTCCATCCGTCGCGCAGACCCTGCCGGAGCCGCTGCCGCTATGGATGATCGGGAGGATCTGGTGTACCAGGCGAAGCTGGCCGAGCAGGCTGAGCGATACGACGAAATGGTGGAGTCAATGAAGAAAGTAGCAGGGATGGATGTGGAGTTGACAGTTGAAGAAAGAAACCTCCTATCTGTTGCATATAAAAATGTGATTGGCGCTAGAAGAGCTTCCTGGAGAATAATCAGCAGCATTGAACAGAAAGAGGAGAACAAGGGAGGCGAGGACAAGCTAAAGATGATTCGGGAATATCGGCAAATGGTTGAGACTGAGCTAAAGTTAATCTGTTGTGACATTCTGGATGTACTGGACAAACACCTCATTCCAGCAGCTAACACTGGCGAGTCCAAGGTTTTCTATTATAAAATGAAAGGGGACTACCACAGGTATCTGGCTGAATTTGCCATAGGGAATGACAGGAAGGAGGCTGCGGAGAACAGCCTAGTGGCTTATAAAGCTGCTAGTGATATTGCAATGACAGAACTTCCACCAACACATCCCATCCGCTTAGGTCTTGCTCTCAATTTTTCTGTATTCTACTATGAAATGCTTAATTCCCCCGACCGTGCCTGCAGGTTGGCAAAAGCAGCTTTTGATGATGCAATTGCAGAACTGGACACGCTGAGTGAAGAAAGCTATAAGGACTCTACACTTATGATGCAGTTGTTACGTGATAATCTGACACTATGGACTTCAGACATGCAGGGTGATGGTGAAGAGCAGAATAAAGAAGCGCTGCAGGATGTGGAAGATGAAAATCAGTGAGACATAAAAGCCAACAAGAGAAACCATCTCTGACCACCCTAGACCTTCCCATCCCACCCCTCTTGGAAATTCCCCCATTGTCACTGAGAACCACCAAATCTGACTTTTACATTTGGTCTCAGAATTTAGGTTCCTGCCCTGTTGGTTTTTTTTTTTTTTTAATAGTTTTCAAAAGTTCTTAAAGGCAAGAGTGAATTTCTGTGGATTTTACTGGTCCCAGCTTTTAGGTTCTTTAAGAACACTAACAGGACTCCATAGAGGCTTTTTCAGCATTACTGTATTGTCTCCTGCCAGATGTGGCAAGATCACCATTAGAAATGGAAATTACATTCGAAAGCCATTAGAATTTTATGTGATGCAAGCATCTAAGAGAAAGGTTAATCACAATATAGAGGTGTATGTGGTATCATTTTTCCTTTTTCTAATTGTTTAAATTGAATTTTATACCAATGTTTAAAATTAATTGGATGTTAGCTTGAGGTGGTAAAAGGTTTTTTGGGGAGTTTGTTGTAATGGTTTTGCTGTAAAAAAGTGTTTCAAACTCTGCTGAAATGTTGCTGAAAAGCATGGTGCTGGTAACAGTTCAACAATCCGTGGCTGCTCATTCTTGCCTACTTTTACTCTCCCTCTAAAGCAGGTTAGCATTGAAGGTGGTATGGAAAAGCCTGCATGCGTGTTCAATTCTTTGTTTCTTCTCCTTCCCTCTCCCCCTGGGCCCCGCCCCTCCCCTCCTTCGCTCGCTCAACCTCTTTTGTTCAGTATGTGTAACTTGAAGCTAATTTGTACTACTGGATATCTGACTGGAGCCACAGATACAGAATCTGTATTGTTCTTACTGAAACACAGCATGGATTAACATTAAACTTAAATAAAACAAACCTAAATTAAAAATGCCAAAAAAAAAAAAAAAAGCCTTTTTCTTAGAGTCATGTGAATTGAGTAAAGTAGTCCCAACATCTAAAACAAATACAATAGCCTCAGGTCCAGGATGCCACTATGATAAATTTCCCACATAAATTCACAGAAAAGGAGCTGGAAGGCTAAATATGAAGCATTCAAAGTGTTAAATTATATTTAATATTAATTTTTTGTGTTCAGTTTTCTGTAAATTTACTTTAATGATAAAGGTAATGGTGATGTTCACATAAAAACTGAGACAGACACTTTGAATGCACAAGAATATATCAGTTGCATGTATTTTCAACATCTTTGCAAGATAGAATTAGTGTGAAAGGATGTGTGCTTTAAAGTCAAAATAGATTTCAGTGTCAGTTCAAACTGTTATCTTGCAGAGTAGTGTTAAGCAGATCATATGCCTTCTTGGGGAGTCATAAATTTTTTTGAATGAATGATTATTTTTTCTCTAAATGGTACTATTATATCAACATCATAGAAATACTGTCAACAGTAAATGAGCTAAATAGCCCAGTGAGTTCAGAGCAAATAGTAAAACTTTAACAGAAAGCAACTATTTTAAAATTATTCTTTATAACTTTAAATGCACTTTTTGAATGTGATTCATTTTGCCAAATAAAAGGACATATTATTTATTAAAAATACTATTTAGCATTTATACCCTTATACTTCTAACATAACTTTTCAAAGTGCATCTAATTTCTTTTTGTTGTTGTTTTTTTCCCCTTGAGAAAATGAACTTATGAAGCTAGAATGAAGGCCAGATTTTCTGAGGTTACCTGTATTTTTGCAATCATATGGCTTATAAAGAAAGCAATAGCAATAAAAGAAATACAGCAGTGAGATTTCTCCTTTTACATTTCACAAAAATAATCACTACTTAAATGTATGTTTTTTTTTTTTAAACAACTTTTCAAGTCAGCTGTCCTTTAAATATTTGGCTTCTTAAAAAAAATATTTGTCCTCATTAGAAGTTCTTTCTCTATAGTACCTGCCATTTGAATGTTATTACTCATTAAGGACTTATTTTGACCCAGTTATGTGAGACTGCTAGTGTTCTGGGTATTCTGTTTAATGATGGCACAATGGAAAATTGAACTGGAAAGGATTCAGGGTCTTACCTTTTCCTATTACAACATATTTCCTTCTCTTTTTAAAAATTTTTCTAATATCTATCAGCTAATGCTCCTGTTCTTTCATCTAACAGAGGTGCTATTTATTAATAGCATAGTGGGGAAGAAATGAGTGAGTGATTTAATTTCAAAGAAAAAATAAACACATTTACTGGTCCAGTATATGACTCAAAATTGAGAAGACAAAATCACACAGACACACACACACACAGGCATAAATTTTGATGATGCATGATTCCCTTCAGCATAGTTTCACATGAAAACTGGTCATGAAGCAAAGGTTATCATATTGATCTTGAAATGAATGAACTATTTAAAGTTTAGAATGTCATGTTAAGACTGGTTGTTCATTTTGTAGCCCATTAAATAAGTTGCAGACAGATTGTTTGATTTCTTTATTTCATCCAGAGTTGATAATGAATACATGAGGAGATTAAGAGTAAGCCCTTGGGCAAAGGGCAGATTTTATAGTTCTGGGGTATACAGACACTATATTTCACCTTGAAACAGATGTGAAGTCTAACGCAGATAGAAAACAAAGGAGTGCTTCTCTCTATTTTCTTGTCTTGTTCCCTCTCCACCTCTCTGTTGCTTAATAAGCTTATCCTTGAATCAATAACACACTGTCTTATTTAGTGTGGCTTCACAGTAAGTTTTGGATTAAGGGAATATAAATACTCAAATTTGCCTTTCCTTTTAAAAATTGCTTTGACTAACATAGATTGCTTGTACTTCCACACAAATATTAGGGTTAATTTGTAAATTTTGACAGTGATTACACTGAAACTGCAGATCAATATGGGGAGAATTGTCATCTTAATGATATTGATTCTTTCAATCAATGAACATGGAACCTCTCTTCATTCATTTAGATCTTTAATTTTGCTCAGTAATACTTTGCAGTTTTTAGTGTTTCAGTTCTGTTCTTCATTAAATTTATTGCTATGTACTTTATTTTTTGATACTATTTTAAATGGACTTTTCCCCCTTAATTTTATTTTCAAATTCTGTTGCTAATATTTTGAAACACAATTGAATCCTGCAACCTTGATAAATGAGTTTATTGGATCTAGTACAGTCTTTCCTTTTTTTTTTTTTTCTTTCTCTCTCTCCCTCTTTCTTTTTGATTCCTTGGGATTTTCTACATATGGAACCATGTCAGTTATGAATATAGGCAATATTGCTTCTTCCGATGCAATATGGATGTCATGATTTAGTTTCCCCTGATTGCACTATTTAGAACCTCCAGTACAATGCTGAGAAGAAGTGGTAAGAGTGCATGCATGTTAAGTCACTTCAGTCGTGTCTGACTCTGTGACTCAATAGAATGTAGACCACCAGGCTCCTCTGTCTATGTGGATTCTCTAGGCAAGAATAGCGGAGTGGGTTGTCATGCCCTCCTCTAGGAGACCTTTCCAAACCAGAGGTCTAACCATGTCTCTTATTAGTCTCTTGTATTGGCAGGCTGGTTCTTTACCACTAGCATCACCAGGGAAGCCCCAGATTCAATATGGAGGTCATGATTTATTTTCTCTTGATTGCACTGTCTAGAACCTTCAGTATAATGTTGAAAAGAAATGGTAAGAGTTGACATCCTAAAATTGCATCCCCTGCTCCCAGTCCCTATTAGACAAAGAACATACTGGGCAAGGCTGTCAGTTGAGTGTCCCATTTTCTCATTTCTGTAATGTCTTTTGTATCATTTGTTTGCATGACAATGATCTATCTGTTGGGTATAAATTTTGAACTTGAAGATTATATTCAGACATGTCTAAGGGTTTAAAAATATAGATGGCACTGAAATATTAAACATTTCAAAGAAAATCTGAAATCACTGAGAAAGTGAAAGAAAGAAGAGAAGATCAGGGAGGAGAGGGGAAAAGGAAAGGAGAGGGAAAGAGATCCTCAAATGAGACAGCTAATTCAAAACAGAAATTTAATTTCTCTAGTCATATAACTTTAGGAACTTAACTTTTCTCATCTTCAAATGGAGAGAATATAAGCAATGGTCTCATAGGCAAGGTTAGAAGATTATTAATGAGATGCTTGTCCCAAGCATGGCAGCTGGTGTTTCCCTACATGGTCTTTAGCAATTAAGCTAACATATTATCAATTCCTTTTCAAAAGGCAATGTTAGGTTGGGAAACATGAGAAAAAAAACTTCCCATTAAATTTAAATCAAGCTTTCACTCATATTTACTTCAAATTTCTATGAGTCAGAGTAACTGACATATATCAGTATATTAGTTTCAAGTATATAATATGATTCAATATTTTTATAGATTGCAAAATTGTCATGACAATCATTCAAATTAACATCCATCTTCATACATAGTTACACATTTTTTCATGATGAACTTTTAAGATTTCCTCTCTTACAAATTTTTAAATGTATAACAATATTAATTATAGGCAACATGCTGTACATTACAAACCCATTACTTACTAATATTTATAACTCTAAATTTGCATGTTTTAAATGTCTTCACCCATTTTGCCCAATTCCCATGCTTTGCCTATATCAATAACAAATCTGTCCTATGTACCTATGAGATTTTCCTCCTTTTGTTGTTTTTTGTTATTTAGATTTAGCATTTGTATTTCTCTGTCTGAATTATTTTATCAGCAAAATGCTTTCAAGTTCCATCAATGTTGTCTCAAATGGCAACATTTTATGTGTGTGTGTGTGTGAGTTGTTGTATAGATGTATGTTCTGTTTAGTTACTAAGTTGTCTCTGACTGTCTGGGACTCCATGGGCTCCTCTGTTCATGGGAATTCCCAGGCAAGAATTCAGGAGTGGGTTGCCATTTCCTCCAGGGATTCTTCCCGACCCAGGGATAAAACCTGGGTCTCCTGCATTGGCAGGCAGATTCCTTACGATCTGAGCCACCAGAGAAGCCTGAAATGAACATGGAGAAGTTGAATACATTTGTTCTCTTCAGATAAATACT